GGAGCAAAGGGAAGATCCCACTCATTTAAACCTATCCTAAGCAGAAGATAATTAGCCACATATATCCCAGAAAGAATAGCAACAGTATACGCAATTATTGGGAATGCACACTTTAAGAGCATTTGCCAAAAATGCCTGTTTTTATTAAAAAGGAATGGTTTCACAAAGGCCCAACTGTAAGAAAGGTTGTAATTTGCCCAAATAAAACTTAATTTGATCCATGAAATAGCTGTGGTTTATTGTGTAATATATGTGCTATGTGTTTTAATTTAATAGAATCCAATATAATTGTAAGCCAGTTGAGTTTCAGAGCAATTTTGGGTTGTTCCCACAGTGTGCAGAGCACAGATGCCACTTTGTGCATCACACCAGCACATCCATAAATCAGGAATATAGGAAGGATTATCCACAAAGCAGCAAGTAATGCTTCATCACGCCCCAGACAGAAAATAAGGCCTTTGAGGGGAGCAAAAGGAGTTATTCACAGGAAATAGCTCGGGATGCTCTGCACTCAGCCAGGCTCCTGGATGCAGTTTTGGGGTGCTGGAGCAGCCCCAGGTGTCACCCAGCACCCAGTGATGCCATGGGCCCCCTTGCAGAGCCCCCAGCCCACCCCAGGGGAGGGGAGATGGAGGTGAATCCTTATTTTTGCTTTCTAGGAAGGTCGTGGTCCCTGCTGGACAAGAGCAGATCCTGTTCTCCCATCAGACAGCTCCCGCTCCCAAAGAGCTCAGGACACACTGGGGGGAGGTACAGGCTCTCCCCTCCCCAGCACAGCTCTGCAGCACCCAGCTCCCATTTCCTCCAAAGCTGAGCTTAAACCAGTCAGGGAGCAGCAGATTCACCACCCCAAGCCCCCAGCCATGCCCTGCACCAGCACCAGTTCCCCACAGCCTTGTGCCCTCACCAGCTCTCTCCAAAAGGCATTGGGATGGATGAGAGAGAGATTTGATTATTTTGTCGTGGTGTTTGTCAAGGAAAACCTCAGAACCCCCCTCTGGCTCCTGAGGCACACCCCACACCCTGAGAGGCACCAGCACCTCCATCCTCTGAGGCAGCACCGCCCTGGGCACTGTTAAAGCTCCTCCTCCAGCTCAATCCCACCCCAGAGCAGGCAGAGCCCCAGCCTGGAGCACCCAGGGCTTTGGGAAGCACAGGCTGGTGTGTGAGCAGCTCTGCTAGAAGCATTAACACACATCCCAAAGAGCTGGAGACCTTCCACCACTCACAGCCATGAAGCCAAGCAGTATCACACCCCAAACCAAACCTCAGCTCCCTTCTCTACACCAACAGGGATTTTTGTCCTCTGCCTTGGTAGCCCACACAGAGCCCTGAATTTGAATTCCAGCTCTGAATTATATATTGAACAAGCCCTTCCACTGTGGAGATAAAGCCCTGAGAAGGAGGATTATGGCCCAAAGACTGGCAGCCCCCATAAAACTGTGGCCACACCTGTGCCACAAAGGGCTCTCAGCCTCTCTTTAAAAGAAGAGCTGAGAGTAGATGAATTTAGCAATAATTTCTTTTCCATTCTGGCTGCTGAAAAGCATTTCTCAGTCATAGCAGCAATGAAGTCTAGGACTAGGATGATGAATGTCTGCTCACAGGGGGAGCAGCAGCCTCTGGGACCCACCAGCAGCAACTGGCTGCTCCTCCCCAGCCCAGTGCACAGACTTAAACGCCATTATTGCTAAATTAAGAGGATCTTATCAAATAAACACAGCCCACACACCAAAGCCTGCAAGGACTCAGGTCCAATAGGAGAATTACTGATTCGGGACTTCCACTGGAGTGGACTTGGGGTACACCCACAACACCAGGAGAACCCAGCTCATGCCTCCAGCCAAGCCTTGGCACTCACAGAAAAACTGTCCATGAGTTTCACTGCTCAAACACCAGCTCAGAAGATCTCCCTGTCCCACCACCCCTCCGGTGACCCATGGGGAGCCAGGTGAGCCATTCCACCCACCCCAGGCTGTGCTGCAGCATGGAGAGAGCTGCCAAGGCCGTGCCCTGGGGCAGCTCCACCTGAGGAGTCACTGCCTGGGAGGGGTGACAGTCACAAACCCACCCAACAGCCCTGGCCTGCAATGAAACCATCCCCTCCCACCCATACAGCAGAGCGGCTCTGGGTCAGTGCCCAGCCGGGCCCTCAGTACCAGGACAGAGCTGTGTTTGCTGAGGGATCCCTGCCCCGGGCCCTGAGGGCACTGAGGGATCCCTGCCCCGGGCCCTGAGGGCACTGAGGGATCCCTGCCCCGGCCCTGAGGGCTGCTGCATACTCTCGGCCTTGGCACCACAACAGCAGAGGCACAGAACTCCCTGAGCTCAGTGTGAACCCTGGGTGTTCCAGCACTGCTACCCCCTCATTTCCCCACTGCACTGCCAAAAAAAAAGCTCCTGGTGATTTGTAACCACAAGGGTGACCCAAAAGCTGAGCCAGCGCCAGCCCAAAAGGAGCCACAGAGAGCCCACAGATCAGGCCAACCACCCGCCTGTGAGGGAGCTCTTCAATTTCTACCCTTAAAATACTCTAAACACCACACAGACCCGACAACAGGGAGCATTCCACTTACCTCAGGTACTGAGAGAGCACAATTCCTGCAGGAAGGAGTAAAATCTCACGTGGAGAAGCTCAGGAGGCAGCTCAGAAAACAGCAGTGCTGTGGCCATCCTGCTTTTATAGGGCTGGGACAATTGGCAGCAGCTGTGGGTGCTGCACAGCCGGATCCCATCAGCTCCCTAATCAGCCCCAACCGTGCCCAGCTGCTCCTGCAAACCTGGCAGGGAATTCACTCCTCCTTCCCCACGGCAGTGCCCTCCGCCCACGGCCACCCCAGGGCTGCTCCAGGTGACATTCCCAGCCCCAAGTCCATCCCCACTGTGGGGAAGGCTCCAGCTCAGCTCTGAGAGGGCCCAGTGTGGAGCTCTATAGCTTTGAAGTCCTAAAGCTCCTGTAAAGAGGTCTAAGTTTCAATGATTATAAGGTATTAAAGGGGCAAAATGACACAGAAAAGGATACTTGATGTCATATTTTGTTGCCTCACCATAAAATCCTTTTTTATTCCCTTTAAAGCCCTGCTGTCAACTGAAATAAAACTCCAGATTTATTCCTGGGGAAGTGCATGAGTAATGAAAAAAAAGAGAATTAAGCACCATCAGTGGATTTCACAAGGGAAAGCCAGAGTTAACCCTCAAATCCGTTCTTGGTGCTGTTTTGTCCAAAATTATGGATTAAGTGGGTAGAAAGTGGAAAATGATGGCACTGCTCCACAAGGAGAACAGGGAACAAAGGTGTCAATGTCGTGTGGGAAATGCTGGGGAAAAGAAAAGGAAACAAAAAAAGCAATGTTTGCTGGTGCTCCCCAGGTAAAAGAGGGCAGTATTGAGAAAAATCTCTTTTAAAAGCCCCCAAAACATAAAAATGGCCTCTTGATAGACTGTGTGAAAGCGATACAGCAAAGGAGGTGGGTGGTTTGGCAGGACCCACCAAACCTAAGCCAAAGGGATAAAAAAACCCCTGCAAAGCTCTTGAAAGCTGCTTTAAATGAGAGTGACATGTTTTGACACCGTTCCCTAAGAATGGCTGTAACACAAACAAAAATTAATGATGTCAAGTATTAATACTGATGCTCCAGGAATTCAACCAATGTGGTCCCAATTAAACATCAAATATGGTTATAATTTGAAAAATGACTGCGGGAATGTCATTGCAACATTCCCTGCTCAGATCTCTCCAGCATCCACCCAGGTTCCTGTGTTTCCCTGTGGGATGCAGCCCCCACCTTCCTCCATCCCTGGAAGTGTCCAGGGCTGGGCTGGATGGGGCTTGGAGCACACTGGGGTGGTGGAAGGTGTGCAACAAGGTGACATTTCAAGTCTCCTCCACCCCAAACCATTCCAGGATTCCACAATTCTGTCATTTCCCATCCTCACTCGTGGCTGTGGCAGGAACATCAGGGCAAGCTGCCAAAATGCAGGACCCTGACATGCACCAGGAGGCTTCTGAGTGACAAATTTAGGCCATATTTAACTCTTTAAGGTCTCATTGAATCTTTTTCTCTGTGAATATGAAGGTGACAAAAATATCCTCTGCAACCTTGAAAGCTTCCCAGTCACTGGGCTCCAGAGGCTGGGATTTTATGGAAATCAAAGGCACACACTGGAATTGTAGCACAACTCCAGGATTTGGCAGAGCTCCTCCCTGGCAATAAATAACTTCCCTGACCAAGCAAAGCCCGTGTCCAACCTGCCCCTGCCAGGCCCAGCACAAGTCAGAGCAAAGGAGCTGATTTTATCCAGGATTTCCAGGCAGAGTAAATCAGCTGAGACAGGCACATCTGACCAGGACATTTTTTTGGCTGCAGCTGCTCCTCAGAGTAAATCTATTCTTCCCAAACACTCCTGGATCATTTATTGCCTGGATGACAGACTGGGAGATCTACGGGACAAAGCTGCTCATGGCTCCTCCGAGGCACTGGAGACATTCCCAAAATCAAGGCCATGCTCCAGTGGAGGATCCACCCAACCATGAGCTGTCCAAAACCTCCATTTGTTTCTCAACCATCAAACACATCTGGGATGTGCAGGGCTCACAGACAACCCCTGGGTAAGGCCAGAGATCCAGACTGGTCCTGCTGGGCAGCTTTGTGGCTGTGTAATATTCTGCTTTTCTTCAAGACCTACTGATTAGCACTGATGAAGATTAATCTGCACAGCATGGATGTGCACCCTCGTCCTCACCATATTCTGTGTTATCAGAGAGGTCAGACAGCCCTGGGTGAGAAAAGCTACAGATCTTCCTCTCACCTCCTCCCAGTGCTCCCTGGCTCTCCAAGTGGCCTCACTCACCCTCCTCTTGGAGCCAGCTGCAGCCTTCCAACTCATTTACTGCTTTTCCAGGGTCCTGGCTGAGATGGGAGAAAGCAGCTGCCCCCTGGAACCCCCCTGACTGCTGCCAACTTCAGCTGGGGGGGGAAGAAAAAAGACAAATCCCCCCCCATAATGCGAATACTTTATTATCAATGAGTGACTGGTATTAGCTTTTTGTCTGGGTATTAATAATATTTCAAAAAACCATACATCAAAATTAGGGCTTTCTCCTATTTTTGCTGTATAATTTTTGTTGTTTTTTTTCTTTTTTTTAAAAATCTGTATTGAAAGAATTATATAAGCCAAAGTGCATTTTCTGTTTTTTGTCCATATACACATTGCACCATACATAAATAATTACATTGTAAAAATGACTCCATAATTACAAGTATAATATATATTTTCATATAATATATAAAACTTTATATTAAATCTAGGTAGATGATATTTGGGATAGTCTGTGTCTTTTTTTTTTTTTTGTCTTTTTTTTTTTTTTCTTTTTGTGTGTGTGTGTTTTGTCGCCGTCGATGTTTTCCTTTCCTCGGAGGGTTACCGGTTGTTGCTGAGTAAGATCTCCAGCCAACACGGACACGACGTGATGAACTGTCTGGAATAACAGGGCCCCCAGCCCTTGGCGAAGCTGATCCGGACGCTGTTGGGGTCGTAGGGCCCGTCTGCATAATCCAGCTCGGCCGTGTGCTGCAGCAGGCAGGACTTCTCGTAGTCAAACACCTTGATGGAGTAGCCCGGCATCACCTTGCGCACGATCAGAGTCCTGCAGTTGGGGATGTCCAGTGTCGGGGAGTTGACGAAGATGGGATGCTCGCTGCGGTTGTAGGCCCACACCCCGTCCGGTTCCTTGCTCAGTAAAATCCCGTAGCCGATTTTACTTCGAGTCCTTCTCACAGTCTCGCTCCTGTTGTCCAGGTTTAGCTGTCCGAGGCAGAAGCCGTTTCCTTGAGGTAGGTCGTAGAAGATACTGACAGACTGTTCGTACACTGTGTAGAGGCGGCCCACGCGCGTCCGGTGCTCCCAGTAGGCCACGTTGCACCAATGGCTCCTCTTCACGGCATCGGGCGACGTGCTGGCGTCTGTGGGGACAGAGAGGGAGTCAGGAGTGCTGGGATCACCTGGGGAACCACAGGGGTGGAGCTGGGAAACAGCTCCTCACACCCATCAGCTCTGCTCAGTGAGAACTTGAACTTGTGCTCAACCCAGCCCTTGCGTTCAACACAAATCTCATGTTCAACCCAAAGACGGTGCTCAACCCAAAACTTGTGCTCAACACAAAACTTGTGTTCAACACAAATTTTATGGTCTTCCCAAAATTGGTGTTCAACCCAAAGATGGTGCTCAACCCAAAACTTGTGTTCAACACAAATTTCCCACTCAACTCAAAACTTGTGTTCAAGCCAAAGCTGGAATTTAACTCGAAGTTCATGCTCAAGCTAAAACTTGTGTTCAACACAAACTCCATACTCAACCCAAACTTGTATTTAACCCGAAGTTCGTGCTCAGCCCAAAACCTGTGCTCAACCCAAAACTTATGTTCAACACAAATTTCGTACTGTTCCCAAACCTGTGTTCAACCCAAAGATGGTGCTCAATGCAAAACTTGTGTTCAGCACAAACTTCATGTTCAACCCTTTTCAAACTTTGTGTTCAACCAAAACTTATATTTAACCCAAAATTTGCGTTCACCTCGAAAGTTCTGTTTAACCCACAGTTTGTGCTCAACCCAAAAATGTGTGCTCAACCCAAAGTCCATCTTTAACCCAAAGCTTGTGCTCAACCCAAATCCTGTCTCCAATTACATCAAATGCCGCCAAGACTGGTGGCCCAAGCCCAGGCTGGAGATCTCAGAGGATGCCCACCATCTCCCATGAGCTTAGCACATCTCTCTCTCCATTTGATGGCCAACCCTGCATCCACAGCTGGGCCCGTGTGTCCTCAGGATATTTGCATTCCTCCCAATGGATCTGGTTCCAACAGTGTCCCGGTATCCTGAGCCTGGTGGCTCCCCACCACCCCTTCAACCCCACCTTCCAAGGCCAACTTGTGCCGAGCTGACCCCCGGGATGTCCAGGATGTGCCTGGGTGAGTGACCCGCTGGGTGTCTCCTCAGTGTAATATTCTCTGACAGCCACGCTGATGTTCCCACGGGGAACATGAAATCTGAGGAAGTGTTTCATGCCAAGGGGGAGTAGCTGCTATGAACTATACATGTCCTTCTAAAAACCCACTGGAACTCTCTCCAGACAATGAGAGACGTCTCTTCTTTCTAGGAATTACACTCAGGGAAGACGGGAGGGACGCATGCTGCCAGAAATCTGTTTAATCTATGATGCCTCCAGAATTTATGATGTCTCCAGAAGGAAGACAGGAAAAGAAGGAGCCCCAAAGAGGGCGAATTAACCACTTGCTGAACATCATTCCTGCTCCTGCCGCACCGGTTAAGGGAAAACCGCCGTGGAATTTCCAGCCAGGAGCTGTGCTCTGGCTGGCCGTGCTCCGTGGCCGGCATTAAGCTCCCTGACAATCCCTCACGTGCCCGCGGCCTGCTGACCCCGGTGCCTCCGTGCCATCATGTCCCATTAACTCGCCCGCGGGGTGATGCCATTATTTTGCTCCAGAGCCCCCATTGACACACCGGATTTCAGGCCCAGCCCTCCAGCCCCGCTTCTTTTCAGGCTCAAATTACCCCGGAGGAGAGCGGGCTCCCCTCCCCATTAACCAGCTTTGAATTAAGCGGCTTTGTTGGAGTTTAACTGGAGTTGTAACTATACAAATTTAAGGGGAGGGCCGTGGGGGAGGGGGTGACGGGGCAGGCAGTAGGATGCCCTTTGCTGTGGGCAGTGCTCATCAGCCTGAAGCAGCCCCTTCTCCCACCACAGGTCACATTTTGGGGGAATCATCTCAGTCCTTTCCCCTTCTCCCACCACAGGTCACATTTCTGGGGACACCATCTCAGTGCATCCCTCTGTCATCAACTGGGACACTAAACCAGGGTGCTAAGAGACCCATCCATCTTCCACAGCATGCAGTTTCCACAGTCATTCTTCCCCTGGGACATCCTACAGATGCTCCCAGTGCTTTCCCAAAGCTCTCCCCAAACACTGAACTTTGCTGCTGTCCCACTCAAGTGATCTGGGGGCTACACACCAGCTCAGAGCCTTTCATGTGCCGGGGCTGGAGGCTGGTAGCAATTACTGAGCTCTGCATCTGTTTAACCTCCCAACCTCCTCAAAGCCCTCCATGCCCATTAGCTATGTTGGTTTTGTTATTACATTTTTGAGAAACTACTGCTCAGCCCCTGCATTTCCCTTACAGATTAAGGATGGGACAACTTCAAACCTCCAGTGTCCCCAGCAGCTTCATTAATCAGGGGAACAGTCAGCAATAAACATTTAAATAGCAGTTTCTCATGGCTTAGTGTAAATTAATATACAAGGGGGGGGAAAGTAAAGCTGGAGGAAAACAGTGCCTATCCTACAAAAATATTTTGCTGGAGGTGCCAACAGCCCTGGTGCCATCTCTGCTTTCCAGGAACTGGGAAATATCTAAGCAAAAGCAGCCATGAAAACATGGGTGATGTTCACATGCATTTGAAATAGCTTTATTAAAAGCATTTCCATGCAACTGAAGGCAGGAACCTCCCTCCATCTACCCATGAATGCAGCCCCTTGCCAGTGAGCTCCTCATCTCTGTCATCCCACAGCCCCTGCCTGGCAGTGCCAGCTCTGCCAGCTCACAGCCCTCCTGGAGAACTCCTGTGCTCCTTCAAGCAGGTGGGGATGTGACTTTCAGGTAACTGCGCCTCAAGAAAGGAGAAGTTTCCTTTCAACCCACTTCTTCTGGCCAAGGGAGAGGAAAGTCTTTTTAAAATCCAAAAAAAGCAGCCCACAGGGCAGTGACCCCTGGCAGGGGCCGGCTCAGGGCTCATCTGAGCACCCCTGCCCGCAGGGTCCCTCTCAGCGCTCCCCGTGCTGCGGTGGGCTCCTCTCCCTCCTTTTATCTCCCAGTGCACTCAACCAGTTCCTGCAAAGATGAACTCATCCCGCAGCCCTGACATAAAACAAGCACTTCAGCAAGCCCCCAAATCAGGGGGGCCTGTGCTGTGTCTCATCCCCTGCCAAGTATTAGTTTCGCCTCCAGCTATTAGCCACTACCACTCTGCAGAGAGCAGGGGCGGCCGGCACACCACCTCCTCCTCCTCTGCCTTTTAAATAAATATTCCACTTTTCCCTCCTCTTTTTTTCCATGCTGCCCTTTATGCACAGACAAGAAAATCCACTTTTTGTTCTGTTTTTTCCCCCCTCCCACTTCTGCTGGAACAGAGGCGGGCTTGTTAGCGTTCTTTTTGAAGAAAGGAAAATATTTGAGTCCCGCCGTGGTACAGGAGGGGTTTTTAACAACTATCATTGTAGGCAGCTACAACTTGTAGCAGCTCCAGAGGGGCTGGCGTCAGGGCTATCTCCTCCATCAAAGCCACCTTCATCCATCAGATGGAGGGGCTGAAACTCTGCCTCGTGTTTACTCCTTCCTCCACCACGCTCCTCCATGCATCCCAGCGATGCCTCCCTGCACATCCCAAAGTGAATTCAAACAATTAGAGATAAAGGAACAAGATAGGAGAATCCAGCCCAGGATTTAAAGGGAAACAGCTCCTGCATGGCTCAGGCAAAAGGAATCTGGCTCTGGGAATAAATGCAGAGAGCAAACACTGTAAATCCTCCCGGCGTTAGCAGCACTGCTGCTGTCACTCCCTGCAGAGTGTGGAGGTAAAGAAAATAACTTGAGGTTTGAGACTATTTGTGATTTGACAGCGTTTTATGCCAGTAAAGTTCAAAGGAGTGCTTTAAAAGAGAAAAGAAAGATGCTTTTTTCCAAAACAAAACACTGCACAGTCCCACTGCTTGATGTTGCACTTGAAAGCAGGATGGAAAACATGGGCAGATCACGAAGCACATGAAACAAACGGCTCTGATTCACTCCTTGGCTTTTCCAAAGCCACCAAACCTCCTCCAGCAGGTCAAATGGCCCCTCAATACATGGCTGCAAGGAAGAGCTTCTCAAAACACTGAAGAGGTGCCCATAGGGAAGACCACGCACATGAAAAATAAATCACTGCACTCTCCAGATGTGACAGGGACTTAATGCACATCTGGGCAACCTGGAAATGAAGCAGGATATTCAAAAGTCCTCGCACCACAGAGCCCACTCCCCATTTTCATGTCCCTCGCTCCTGTACTCCTGTGCCACAGGGCAGCCTCACACTCCACTGGCCATGGAGCTCAGGTACACCCTCCCTCAACACCTTTCCATGCACTTTTACTCCACTTTTGGACTATCAGGCCCATGCTCAGTCTTTTTCCTCTCCTCTGCCACAGCACAGATCTGTATTTACACTGCCCAACACACAGGAGCAGGGAAGCAGGAAGGTTACAGCCATACACAGGTCACTGTGAACAAGGTCCAGATAAAAGCCCAGCAAAAAGAACACACACATTTCCCCCAAATCTATTAACAGTTCACTGGGGAGCCATCAGTTAAAATAATCCCCCATTAATATCCCTGGAAACAAGCACCAGGGTAAGGAAGGGGTTAAAACTTTCCACAGCAGAAATGGAATTTTTATGGCCTTGCAAAGAAAAAAAAAAAAAAAGAAAGAAAAAAAAGGAAAAAAAAAAGAAATTAATTGTCAATCTGCCCCAGCAAAGCTCACAACCATTTTCTTTAAGCCAATACATTAAAATACCTCTGCCTTACAAGTTTCAGCTGGAATGCATCACTGTGCCCCCCAGAGCCCCCCTGGCACCAGCACCAACCCCAGCACGGCCCCTTGGGCTGGGGAGGCTGGAGCTGTCCCCAGCACGGGGCCCTCAGGGGACACACACCAGCCCCTGCCGGCTGCCCATGCCCAGGGGAGCCGTGAGTGGCACCCTGAGGGCACCTCGGAGGGGCTGGGACCCTGTCTCGGTGCCACCACGGGAGCACCCCAGTGTTGGGCACACTGTGTGTATTCAGGGCAACATCCTAACCCCAGCAGGGAACACACACAGGAGGCTGGGCAGGAGCTTCTCCAGGTGAA